TTTACACTTAAAAGCATTTTTACTAGTTTTGTAGTTTTTATTAATGTAGCCACATAATTGAAACCACAGTCTAGCAAAGAAAGACTGAACAAGATCAAATAGTTGGCAGCTGAAACTAGGCAAACTTAGAAGCAGAACTAATGTTCAGTATTTTCTCAGTGAGGCTAATTTACCTTTGAGATAGTTCATGTAGCTGTGCAGTAGATTTTTCATCACAATAATTTTTTTGAAGTAAGGCTGTTGTTCTTTTTAAAAGCTATTTAAATGCTGTTGTGTTCCTTGGCTGAGCTACTTTATTCTTCATGGGGTACGCCCTTTCACTTGATTGTCCCACCTGGTTTAATTGTTTCCTGAGATTTTAGATAATCACACATCCCTCTGAACTTTTGCTTCCTTAACCTAAGAGCATTTTTGGATTCATTAATTACAAAGTTCTAAAAATTCAGGCTTGGATTCCCTGGGCAGTATGTATATGCTGTTAAAAATATCTGGGTATTGATTTCCCATGCTTGCTTTTGAGTTACTTCCTTTACTGTCTGTGATCTGAATGAAGCTGAGTGAGATTTTTTTAGCTTTGATTCTGAGCTGAATTTTCAAACACAACAGAACCTGCTGAAGTGTTACAGAAATGTGTTTGATATTCAGATCAATTAAAATGCTCCAAAGGGCTTTCTTGCCTCCTTCAGTCTTACATGTTTCTTGGTTTTCTTGAAATTGTACTATTCCTAGAATTTACTAATTAAAGACTGGCTTGCTTGCATAATGTTTTTAATGTTAGCAGCTTCACTCCTGTAATATCTAAGAAAATATTTTGTACTGCAAGTCTGCATTCCTCAGAAACATACCTACTTCCACAGGGAGAGATGAGATGTCAGAGTCATACATTCTTTCTTCCCTACTTCAGTATTTTCTGTTTTTTCTTTCTCCATACCCTCATATTTTCACTCTAAGACCCCCGAGATGGATGCTAAAATACTGATAAGACCTGTGCACTGCAAAAGCTGCTGGTCTCCAAGTCAGTAAATGTGAAAGATTACAATATGATGATATCTATTACCTAAAAGGTGAAACTAAGCTGCTGGTAGTAATAGAAAGTCACAGAGTCACAGAGCATGCAGAGCTTTATAATTTCTGTTGAACAACATCATTATTCTTGGCTTTTAGATAGAAATTGTTGAAGGCGATGAGTTCATGTTCTATCAGATTTTCACTCAGGTATTATCCTTCTTGAAGATAGGGCTAGAAAGGTGTGATCATAGAGTGTAGTTCAGTTCTTCATATTGTTAAGTCTCTCATACCAAACTATTCCATGACAAAGGGCTGCTTAGGTGGATACTGTGGAAACCATGAAAAAGCACTCATAAAAGGAAAACAAAGACTTCTAAAAGGGTGCAAGGCCCAGCACTTTTCTTGGCATATTACAGTCAATTGTAGTTGATTCTCATGGTTTTATTCAATTTCTCATTTTCCCTTGCAAGGCATATTTTTCCTCCAAGAGAGGATGACCCATGAAATGGCTCTGCTTGACTTACCCTAATCCCCACCACAACAATTTCAATACTTAATAAACTTACTCTTCCAAATAGTTGGAACTGCTGCTTTATTGTTTTATAGTCTTGGATTACGACCTGGATAGTCTTAATCTTAGAATCAAAACCATGCTTGGTAATGAGAGGAAATATCAGGATAAGCTTAATTAACTGTAGGCGGGCAGCTAAGAACACAAACATCCAGGAGCACGTCCAGTGAAAAAACTCTTTCTTGCCTACAGCTGGAGCTGAGAACTGGAAGGCTGTGTGTTTTTGGAGACACTGAATGTAAAGTGAAGGAAAATAACAGTCACACCACACTTTATATTTTAAGCCACAAAATTTTTGTCCCTTCTCTGGGCACAACTGTACTATGGATTTTCACATCTGACTAGTTAATTGGTGGGGAGGAGGGGAAGCTTCAAAAGGGGATTCTGTTTGATTTACTCTGCTTTACACTTCTCTGTCATCAAGTAACTACAACTCCTTAGCAATATTTCTTCTAATATCAGAGTCACAATTTATGTTGTTTAGATTCTGCCAATCTCAAGCATATATTTTCATTTTAAGTTTTCCAGATATTTCTTATAGAAATGATGTTGAAACCTCGAAACTTGATTACGCATTGAAATTGGATTATGCATTGAAACTTTGGGATACTGAAATTAGGCTGAAGGTCCACAATGGCCACCAGTGGCACTGCTGTGGGGATGGTAGCAGAGGTGTTCCAATATGTACTAGCTGTGAATCTGTGTTCTGTGCAGCCAGGCAGGACCTCACTGGAATATTTTGAAGCATTTAGTTCACATTCATTTTGCTTATACCAACAGGATAATTTCTACCTCTGTGCAATGTATATGCCCATAATGATTTGTTTACAAAGAGGTTACGACGAGGCAATGTGAAGAGACACAATGGGAATAATAGCTGTGTGGAGACAACAGGCCCTATCCATACAATCTTTCAGCTGTCATCTGTGTTCAAGTTCAAGGAATGTATCTCAATTATTTTCACATCATACTTTTCCAAAGAATGTTTTCCCTTTAGAAAGCTGCTGATCAAAATAACCAAAAGATAAAAATCAAGTTGTGCAATCATTTCCAGTTACAGCTTCTTTTTCCCCCCCAGTCTTTAATATTTCAAAACCTTGCTTTGAAAAACTAAAGAGCAAGCAAACAAAAGCTACAAAACCCCTTGGAACTTAGATTATATGTATGTGGAATATCTAATAATAAAATTAAGAACTGTGCAAATCCCTAAATACCTTTTCATTATTATTTGATTAAAAAAATTAAAGAGAATCTGGATATCTATGTCATTATGTTTCCACCTTGAAATTCTGTGAAGGGAGAAATATGTTGTGTCTCAAACCAGCCTTCCTGCTGGGCTACAGAGATACAAATACAACAGGATGAGATGATTACCCTCTGCATCACCCTAATCTAATGTTTTACAAGTCATCAAATCCAGGTATTTAAGCACCTGTTTGGCCCTTATCCTAGGTATCTGTAGAGAGGAGGAGAGATTAAATATGTGCTGAACTGACTGTCTACCTCCCATTGTGATTAAAAAGACATAACTGCCAGAGTCCATTTTCCACTCTGGTTTCAAAACCCATGAATTCAGTGGAATCACTCTGGATTATAAATGTCATCCTTGGGAGTAGAAAATGACCTTGTGTCCCTTTTCTTTCCACCACAAAGATCCTCTTTCCAGCTTTCCCATGTTGAGCAAGGACAAATTGGCACATGCTACCACTGCACATTTCCCTCCCAATTACCCATTTCCTCTCCTCTGTGCATTTTTGAAACAATGTGTCATGTTCTGAAACCTCACATACCTGAAACATTTGGAAACACTGAGCTCTGGATGCATCTGGTTATTAGATTTGAGATGGCTGCCCCTTCTGCGAGTAAAACCCTCACAACTGCCATAGGAAATTCCATTAAATTTTTCTCCTCTATGTTAAAATTTTGCCTCAAATATTTTACTGCTTTATTTATTTATTAATAAGTTTTGTAGTAGTCATGAAAAACACTACAGAAACTTAAATAAAAAATGTTATTTTTAGGACAAGGATATAAAACAGTCTTCCAGGTGAGAACATACATCCTCCACAGCTAAATTCAGTGGCAGAGTTTGCCATCCACTGTGGTGAATGCTCAGTGGCAGGTTATAGCCTTTGGGAAGCAGAACTATAGATGGACAGAAATAATGTTTTTCTGTATACTTTTACTGTGAAAATTTGTATGTGGCCATATGATCAGCAAACAGCGTATTGTAAATTTGTAGTGTGAACAGCTTGATAAACCCGTTGGTTGACTTCAGCCTACTGATGTGTGACATCAAACTGACACACAGAAGGGCTCTTAGTATAAGCTTCATCCTCTGTTTTTAGGAACTAGTAGAACACTGTCTTTAGAAATGTCTTGACTCTCCTCTACTTGCTTGGAATAACATTTTTCCCCATACCAGCAGAGTGTAAATGCTGGTTGCTAACTTAAATGCTGAGTAGCCTTGCTAGAGCTAGTAAACAAATTGAGCCTCATCAATCGCATGTCATCAAATTCTCTGTGTTCTTCTTTGTGTCTTCTATCAAGAGGCGTTCTTTCTTCTCTGAATTTTAAGCATCACACTATTACCACTTTGGATAAAAAGTCCCATCCAACCCATTAAAAGTTATTAAAAAATTATCAAGCATTGACTTATATATAATGTCTTCTGTTTATAATTTTTTTCCTTCAGTTAACAAAAAATTACTTTTTTTTTTTAAATAAGGCAGATTTTACAAATTGTTATAAATAGAATTACCTTATTTTTACATTTTGCTGTCTGAAAAAAAATCTCAGTTTATTAATTCATTAGGTAGTAAGCTGGGGATCAGGTAAGTGATAACTAAGGTAATAATTTGTGAGGAACTAATCTCCAGTTACAGCAATGGCAGCTTTTATTAACTGTGAGCCAAAAGGCTAAGGATATGTCTGAACTAACTTGGATGGTGCTGTGCCTGCCTGTGACAAGCTGTGAATTTAGGGCTGAAATAAGTTTAAGGATAGTGGCAGAATGAGGAAACAGTTCACAGGAAGGGATGGAAGAGGTGTACTAAAATCTTGCACTACTTCTGTATCTATAGAGTATTACAGACTTTAATATTACAGACTTAGCTGAGTGGATGTCCTATTGAGGAGAATGGAAATATTTACACAGTTGGTGATTGTACTGTATCAGTATGTTGCTGAATTAGTCTTGAACATATTTAGGAAAAAAAAAAGGAATTATTATCACCCTGGAAGACTATTTACACTTGCTACCTTTTCTCATGGCCTAATGCCCAACAGCTGCACTAACAAGAGACATTATCAGCCCTAATTGTCCTTCACCTCCCTCCCTGGAAGGGACCAATCTGCTGACAGAGCCAGTGTAGTGTTTCATTTTAAAGGGCATTGGTTAGCTTAAATAGTGGGGTTTTGCTAACTTGGCTCTTTTAGACTGAAATTAATTAGGGTGCTTGCCAACCTTCACCCCTTAGGCCAGCTGCTTATGGGCTCCATGTGTGTTCACATCCTGAAGCACAGTGTAAGTAATATCCATGGGTCAATAGCAAACAAAAACTGAATTAGATAAAGGGTATATTTTGAATATTAATTATAGTAATAACAAATATAATTGGGTAACACAGTGGTCAAATAATAGGCAAAAGTTATTAAATGCATTTTTTGTTGCTACACACAGTGAAAAGTATTGCAATAAGACCAGTAAAGCAAGCAAATGTGTTAACAAGGAGAACCAGTAATTTAGCCCCATCAGCTATCAAATCTGGATTATTCATGCAGAAGTTATTATGTATTAAAATATCTTTCTTTATGCATAAAATTAAGCCCTTGCTAGATTGTTAAAATGGCAAGACAGAAAAATGCCAGCTGTAGCCAGTTCTTGTACAACTTGGTATTTGTAACTGGTATTGGGGTTTAAAGGAGCTTCCTCAGTTCCATGATGTGGAAGCTGGATTTTGAAAGCAGAGGACACTTCATTTTCTGGGAATAGTAAGGGTTCTTTTCCTGTTTTTTTTCTTTCCAGTGAAGAGCCTGTTTGTCTCTCATGTGCACTGGCAGATGCTTTTCTGGGAATAGTAAGGTTTTTTTTCCTGTTTTTTTCTTTCCAGTGAAGAGCCTGTTTGTCTCTCATGTGCACTGGCAGATGGGGTGAGTGTGAACATTCATTTTTTATTTTTGCACTCAATGTTCACTGCAGCATATGGTAGCCAAGAAAGGAGTGAGTGGAAGGTGAGAGTGCTCAGTGACAGAGTGGCCTCCTGGAGAACCTGGTGGCCAGGGCCTCTCATGCAATGTGTTCCTTGGTAGCTTTCTCTGTGTTATAAGTTAACCTTTGCATTCTGGACCTGGGTCAGTTTGTGTCTTAAAAGAACTCTTCCAGAAAAGATAAATCTTACCCTAAATTCAGGGTGTAAGGTCAGGGTGTAAAAGCTCAGATTCTTAAACTGGATTGAGGCTGGAGTGTTCAAAGTGGTGGGGCATTGCTCAGCACTCAGTCGTTGCAAGACTTCGAGATGGCCAAGCTCCACTTATGCAAAAATCTAAATGTCTCCTGTTCTTAATTTGGGTGTGCTGTGCCTCCAGCAGTGGTCACAGCTGGGGAATTCAGCAACCATTACCCAGTAATGCAGGGAAGGATAGCGCTCAAAGCGGGGATATGTAGCTGCTATCAGCTCACACGGAGTGGTGAGCTGTGGGAAACACGAGTCTCCCAAACCTCTTTCTTAGAAGAGGATTGGGAAACTGCCATGCATCTGCCTGGGGCAGTGACTCATGGCTTGGGGTGCATGGTAAGAGAACCCTGTAACTGTGGTGTGGAGCAGTCCTTTGCCTGCACAAAGTGGACTCTGCCTCTCTGCCATCCCAGGACTTGTCAGTGCAGTTTAGCCACTGTCCTTGTCTCGATAACAGTTTAATTAATTACTGAAAGTGGCATCAGAAAGATTGGGATTGTTCCCTTCTCCTCCATCCCGGATTGCTCCAGAGCAGGGTAGTTGTGCTGCTGTCAGGGATGAGATTTCACATCCCCTCCACGGGAGGACCATTGAATCCAAATCACCTGTTGCTGCATGAGAACAGTTGACATTCCTAAAACTTTCAGTGGATGAACCTGCCAAAGACACTGAGAATCAGCAAGTGGCTTCTTCTGGAATAGTGCTTTTTCAATGGTGTTGAATCTCTCCATGGCACCAGTCACAGGTGCCTTGGGATCGAGTAGCGTGGAGGAAATCTGTCCTGCTTTGAGGAAAAAAATGCATTGAGGAAAGCCAGCTAAGGGGAAAATTCAGGTTCCGGCTGCTTTTGGAATAGTGCTTTTCCAATGGTGCTGAATCTCTCATTAGCACCAGTCGCAGGTTCCTTGGGATTGAGTATCATGGAGGAAATCTGTTCTGCTTTGAGAAAAAAATGCATTGAGGAAAGCCAGCTAAGGGGAAAATTCAGGTTCTTTAGATGATGCAAACCCTGGGAAACCAAATCACAATATATACTGCATACACTAGATGGCAATGTAAGACCTGCATATAGAGGTTACCTCCGAATTCAATAAAAAGTGTTTTCTGGTAGGTATTGCGAGCTCTTTCAAAGTAATAACTTTACCTTAACTCTCTTACAGTGACCAAATATTCTAACAAGGGGTAAAACACAGGACCAATTTGGATCAGTAAAGGACCACTGAATTAGTGTCTTGCTTGTTCTCATTAGTTTAATAATTTTCAGAAAAGTGTATTAATTTGTCATAGAGCTTAATAATTATTTCAGAATGTAAACTCTGTTATTATGTTGTTCGACCTTTGCTAGGTCCTATCATCTCCTATCCCGGTTTGACCCCAGCTCAAATAGCTTTGAAACGTCCTTCCCGTATATTCCCTTTAGAATACTTTAGACACTGCAGATGTTCCCTTTTCATTTCCTCTTTTTTTTTGTCTGATGAGCAAAAGCCTGTGTAATAGCTTGGTAATGTTTCTGGGACATAAGGAAGCTCTGTTGCATGTATAACTCAGGTTCACCTCCTTCTCAGACTTTGCTGTGCCTCTCTGGATATAGGCAAGGTGTGGATAAACCTGTGATACTATTTGATTTAATACATACTGTACTGTACTTTAGCTTTTCATCTATTTAGGTGATTGCCTCATTCATCTAGAGCTAGTGCTGAATATTCAGTAAGGCTTTGTACTATAGTGAGAAAATTCTTCTCAACTGTTTTGTGGTTTTTTTTTTGTTTGTTTTGGGTAGTTTTGATTTGGGTTTTTTTCAGTTGTTACCACTTATTTGTATCATATTACTGTTTAAATAAAATTTAAGGGACATCCACTCTCCTGAGCTTATAGCAGAAATTCTAATTGATTCTTTTATAGCACTCCTGTCATTAAGAATCAAACAGGGAAATTGTGTTGCAGCTTTTGAATGATAACAGAAAAAGTTAATACTGCAATTCTAACATGTTGACCTCTTAATCTAAATTTAGATTCAATTCATCCCCTTTGCAGTTAGTTTTGTTGTGCAATCATAATTGAATGCTTCTTAGTGAAATTCTTGATGTTGTTTTCAGTCAATGAAAGATTATTGGGACACTCCATGTGGTTTTCTTCAGTATTTGTGGTGTCTGTGCATGAAGAGCTGCAGTAACAGAAGGCAACCATCAGTAATTCCACATGACCCTCAAGAATCCACCATGTCAAATATCAGGCTATATCCCAAGTAGCTGCTGAACTTTGTTTTTCAGGTTTTCATTTCCTATGTCCCAATTAATTCTTCTAGTATTTCCGCCCCCCCACCCACGCAGAACAGTCCCTCTCTCTCTCTGCTTATTATTTTTATTATTTCCATTCTGCCTTTTTTAGTTACCTTTTCCTTCCTCCTTTCTCACTGTATAGAACATACAGGGAATGGGAGCTTAATATATTGATTTAAAGAGAATTAACAGAAATATTTAGATTTTTTTTTTTTAATCCTGGCTTTGTTTGGTATTACTATTTCTATATACCTATGCTTTGACCCTGTCATCATTTTTTTTTTTTAAATCAACAGGGCAGGTGAATGTAAAAATACACATTGAAATACAGCAATGTGCAACACTGCACTTCATACGTGGCTAATCATGGTCTTCTCTTTATCCTGACTGTACCTGTCATGCCATCATACATGGTATGCACAATGGTATGACAGGCTGGAAGGGGCTTGGGTTGGAAACAGCCTTAAAGATAATCTAATTCCAACCCCCCTGACATGGACAGGGACACCTTCCACTGGACCAGGTTGCTTAAAGCCACATACAACCTGGCCTTGAACACTTCCAGGGATGGGGCATCTTCCTTCTTGTGATCTAATGTGATGAAAGCTCCTGTGCCATGCTTCCTTCCTTACCCACTTTTCCAGCTAGCACCTGCTCTTGCAGTTGAGGTTGACAGTGGACTAATCCTTGAACAGGGACTCCAATTACAAACCAGCATGAGTTTGTGTTGTGCTGCAGTATTTCTTCCCTCAGGGCTTTCTTTTAAGGTGAAGCAGAAAGTGAAAACTGAATTAATACATTAATTTATGGAAAATGCTTTCCATATCTTGGTAGTATGGCCTTACATAAAAGTCGGCTGAAAATTCTCTGTGAAATCCTTTTGGTATTTTTGATTGCTGAAGGGACCACAGAATAAATTCCTTCCTTCCTAATGCTGCACATACCATTGGGAATCTTTCATTGGAGACATTTTATTATTGTCATATTTTCAGCGAGTTAAAAATACAATTTTTAAAAGCCTATTATGTATATATTAAAAATATCTCTGCTTTGACTACAGCTGGTTAGAGAATGTATTTTAGCATCTGTTATTTGGTTTACGTTTTGATTTGACTCTGACAGAAAGTTGTTTGTCCTCTTGGTTTCTGAGTGAGAGATTATGTTAATAGCCTTGGGGAAAAGATGTCTTCATACCTGCATATAGAGTAGAAGATGACTATATTAAAGGGATTAATTTTACATAATTAAGTTTTTCACACAACTGAACACCAGTCTTTGCTCGGGTGTAGAAAAGCAAGGCAACCTATGTGAACTGATTGTTTCACTCTATAATTTTGGAGCTATAATCTTATGTCATCAGAATATTCTATATCAGACAAATTTCCTTGCCTTAGAAGCTACTGCACAGTTCCAGGTGTTGTAAAAGAGCAGAAGACATTCCAGATGTTATTGTATTTTAACATATAAAGAATGTGTATTAGGTAAGGAAGGAAAGGTCAGTGTAATTGGTTTAGCCTCCAGACATAAGTCTTCTATATAACTAATTTTCACAGCTCTTACTAGCAAATTCTGCAAAGTGGTTTCTTAAGGAAGAGGGGGAAAACTTGCCTCACTGGTAAACTGATTTGATTCCAGAATTACTGACTTATTGAGATAAAAATAAAAACTTTTATGTGTCACTCTTTGATTAAAAATTCCCAAGATAAATCAAAAGTAAGAATCATCTAATAAGCCATGGATTAATGAAATGCTAAAATAACTGTTTTGCAGTGGAATGTCAGCCTGTCTCTGTGGCACTTACAGAATCTCAGCCCATTTAGTGCTTTACAATTTCCAGCTGAAATTTTGTTTTCATTTTGCTGTTATTTACAGTTCTTTATGTGAAACATAACAAATCTGATGTGAATTGTCTTTGTTGTAAGTTAGATAGCCATACTGTGGTGATGATTGCAGTAGCATGTATTTGTTTTCTGTTTAGGCTGGATTTACACTGGCTCATCAAGTGCTGGGGTTGGTTGTATTTTCTTTCAAGTTCAAAGCCTTCCTCATGAAGGTTTTTATTTAATTATGAGGTTCTATTGTCTAAAATGAAAATGGTTGTAGAGGTAGTTCCCACTGCAAATCTTCTGCATCTTTTGTCTAGTTACAATGTTCAGATTGGACAGCTTTCCTATCTGACTCTGTTTTCCAGATTAAAATGCATTAACTGTGGAGTGAGTTAAAAAACTAATATTGGCCAATTTAGCAAGAAATGCCCAAAGTACTTAAGGTGTTTTGCAGACCTCTTAAGCTGAGTGGATGCAGCAGCTGACTGGAATTCCCGGAGAGAAAAGCCATATGACTGTTACCTTGAAAGCAAGACATGTCCAAAAAATCTAAGTGGTATTAATTTTCATGTCCACATTTCCAATTATTTGACCTGTGTGTTTTGGGAAAAAACTCTTGCAACCCTTTGTTGAGCAATTGTTTCTTTAAGCATTTGCGTTTGCCTTGACGTCTTGGCTTATTCAGGGAGCCTGCTTTGGGAATGAGCTCATCAAAAGCCATGGATCTGGAAGCCAGACTTCCATTAATTGTGCCTGAGGACACTACGTGGGCTGTGAAGCAGTATGGAGAGTTTTGAACCTTTTTCCAATACGATTCTTAAAAACACCCACCTTGTTGAGCTGGTGGTGGTAATGGTTATGCTCTCAAAGTGAAAGAGACATTCAGGATTATCTTAAAAATCTCATTGGCAATCTTTGATCTTAGTACCTTAAACACAAGAGAGAAAAGGATGAAACACAAAAAAAAAACCAAAAAACAAAAAACAAAAAAAAAACCAACCAAAAAAACCCCCCAAACCTCCTGCCCACCAACACAGAGAGTTTCTTTTTTTCAGTATCCAAATATATGGCTGTTCTCTCAAGTATAAAAATTCTTTAATGTTTTTGTATGTGTAGTACAGTAATAGATAGAAACAAAAGTTTATTGAAAGTACATCATGCTGATGTTGCATGCTGAATTCCCTCTCCCTCATCCTAAGCAATGGCTGTGTTTATGCCGCACAGAAAGCGAAACTGGCCTTGTTCTGAAGAGGCACAGTCAGCATGCTTGCTAATTCTGTCAGGGGAAGGAAATCAAAATGCAAAGAAAAATCATTAGAGATGGTAAAAATAACAAAATATTAAATTTTTGCTCAAGTTGTGATGTGATATGGATGAATTAGGTGAAAAGAGCAATTTTTTTCTTGCTTGCTTTTTTATTTCCTCTCTAAGAAACCACATCTGAGGTCTGCTGGTAGCTGAAATATCTGTAGGATTATGAAAAATTTGAGAAGAAATAATTTGAGTATTTGTAAAGCTCTAGGTAATTAAACTACTTTGAATCTGTTGAAGACAGAGTAGTGAGTATACAAACATTTCTCATTGCATTTCAGAACTCTCTTCTGGTATCTTGTACAGATTCATTGCAATAATTAGATGAGAAAGAAGCAGTTGCCATTGCAGCCAACTACTGTTGAGAAATTAAACAAAAGTCTGGGGAAGATTAGATAATGGAGGGCACCTGGCAAGGGAGCTCGGGGTTTAGGAAGAAGTTTCTGGTGATGATAAGGCAGTGATATTGCAAACTCAAGAAGGAAAAAAAGTGGGTTTAAATTTGCAATAGATTATTATATGAGAAGGATAAAGGTTGGGAGATATTTGAGAAGGGAACAGCAGAGGTAGTGAGTTTAGGGGTGGAGGAGGTACTAGCTGAGGAGGGAAAATGGAGACCAGATTTTCAAGGCAGAGAAAGAACTTGGGAACTTAGACCAACAACAAATTCAAGATTAGAGGCAGCAGTGTAAGCACAGCTCTGACAAGATGATGAAGGGAAGAAGGGGCAGCCTGTGCTCATTCTGGCATGTGCTGAGCTCTTCTGGCAAACCTGCCATGCTGGTTTGTGAAACAGAGCATGGTGCAGCATCGAGGGTTTGGGGATGGGTAAGTGTCAGCTCCTGGTACGCTGATCCTCAAAGAATGCAGGCACAATATTAGCTATTAATATTATCACTTCTGTGAAGGACTGTGTGCAGCAAACAAGCTCGGGAGGAAGCCAGGGTAGCAACCCTTCAGGTAGCAGAGTGCGGAGCTGCCTAACTCAAGCAAACGCCTCTTCAGACAGATCTTGTTTGCACTTCAACTGGCTTCTGATGTTGCTCGAGGCTGTATCCTACTGAACTTGAATTGTGTAAGGCAAAAAAAAAAAAAAAAAAGTGGAAAATCTCCAATTCAGAGTGCTGAGAGAGCGTTTACAGGAAGTGGTTAATGGGAGTGCAAGGTCTGGTGATTAAAAAGCTTGCTGCAGCCTCTTGTCTTTGATCTTACCACGCTGCTTGTCCCCCATCGATCATTCCAATTTATTGCCCTATCTATGCACATTTGCTCTTTGTGGGACTATTTACACAGTCCATCCTCATCAGATTATCAGGTGATTTACGCCCTGTCTACACAAAACCAATTCACAATGGGTGATCCCATTGATGTGCAAGTGGGTTTTATACAATTCAGTTGTCACAGAAGTAAATTGCACTACCATAAACTCACAGGTTTATAGTGTGTGTGTGCACAAACGTGGATTAAGGGGTTGGCAGAATATCAATTATACTGATGTGGATTGCTGTACAGAGCAAACTTTCAAAATACAAAGAAATTTAGATAGGAAATATTCCAAGTACTATTTTGCAGCATGATGACCCAGACCAAAACTATACTGAAGCAGATCATTCCATGGTTTAAAAAACATCTAAATCAGAATATTTTTTAATTGTAAAAAAAAAAAAAAGGAAAAAAACTAAGGAAGTTGTTTAACATTTGGAGTACTGACTTCCCCCCTTCCCCCCCCTTCACCCAACAACTTATAAATAGGGGGAAAATACCTGAAAATATATTATTTTTCAGTAAAGGAATAATTTAGATGAAACACTACAGTAAAAGCATCGTTCCTATTCTCTGCACCCACAAAACTTGAATACTACTAACATACTTCTAAATTTCTCAAGAGCTTAAACTACTATTTAATTTTAAGCATATTTTTTAGTGAAAAGAATCAAGGCCTAAGAGAGGACTGAAAAGAAGTATTGCTGTTACAAGTAAGATAAGGAAATAAAAAAAAACAAACCAAAAAGCCACAGAATAACACATGTAGTCACATCAGGGCATCTGCAGTTACCTTTGCCCCTATTTGGATATTGGGGGATGAAGAGCAGCTCTGGAAGCCAGTGGCTGGTGATGGGGATGGCTGGTGGAAGCAGTACTGTCACTTTTCTGTCTCTGGTGTGCTTGTGCTGCTCAGGAGAAAATTTTCTTTTCTGCATTTGAGGGAGGCGCTTCCATGTTTTGTTTTTACATCTACCTGGAAATTGAGAAGAATCTCCCTACCTGGTTTTCTGTTTGCATGGGTACTGCTGTTTAAACCTTGAGGTCTGGTTCATGTGTTTTAAAGCTACTTTGATTCTTTTAATATTGAGTCTTATCTTCAAAAGAAGGAGCAATAATGATTAAAAATTAAGTATGGTATGCTGAAAGCAACAAGGTTGAAATGTGATTTCTTTGACACATCAGTTCAGGTTACTTTACCAGACACCCCAGCAACCAGGTACTGATGTTGGATTGGATTAAGCTGATTGATTTTGTGTTTGGGAATTAATGATAAAGATGTAAGCATCAGTTGCAATGGTACTATTATGAAATATTCTATGTCATTGCCTCCCTTAGGCAGTGTTCCAACTTATAAAAACAGGGAGTGAGCTATAGGCATTTAGCAGTTGCTAAACTGGGTGTTTAGCTAGATTTTGAATGAATGCACAATATTTTGCTCTTTATTTAGTACTCTAGCTCCTAATTTTTTTCCAATAAAAAATATGGGAGGGCAAAAAACCTGCATCTTATAAACTACCAGGAGTAGAATCCTGGCTTTCACGGAGCAGTCTCCAGTAGGAGAAAATAAATTTTCTAATAATGGCATTGCACTTTGTTTCTGTAGACAGCAAATTCAAAGAACACTTAGAGTAAATATCGAGCCATACAATAAGTCTCTTGGGATAGACATTTATTTGAGTCCTGAATGATGTATCACTCTAATAAAGTCAAAGTCAGACAGAACTGAATAAAGGATATCCTTCACCTGCTGCTTGGCCTGTGGCACATCTAGGAGATGAAGTAGTGGATTACATTCACACAGCTAGTGAAAGGTCTTAACAAATGAGAGAATATGCTAAAGAGATAGGGCAGTAGGTCTTGTTTCAATAAGAAACCAACTGTTCCCAAAGTGCTCCTTTTTTTGGGGTCCCTTCCCCCTATGATTAATCCGTATTTGAGACTGTTGACCCAAGTTATCGTTCCCAAATGATTGTCTTTGCTTCCGCTCTGCTTAGTCACTATTATTCTACAGCTGAGGCTCTCTGCTTTCCTCAGGCAGTTCCACTTGTTCTGCTTGTCTCAATAGCTGTTTTTAGAAGACGTGTCTTTAATTAAGCTCAAGAGGAGTTAAACTAAAAATTCCAAGAAAGGTTTTACCACAAAGAATGAAGAACTGCTAAAGTTTAAATGTTGAAACATTTTGGCAGAGATAATAAAGTATGTTCATTACGTTTGCTAGGAAGGGGAGACTGGAATGCCACACGCTGAACAATTGCAAAGATTTAACACTTGGGTATAAGAACATTTTGGAAATAAATGTATAAGGTGGTGATTTTCCAAGTGGGACTGAAAGTTAAATTAAAATCAGATCAAGATGCATGAAAAGGTATTGCATACCATTTTAGACTGGTGTTCTGTGATACGCTGACATTATTTTGGCAATACGAAAAGTATCACTTTTATAAGTGAGTTCACACTGCCCTAGTAATTTCAGCCACGGAGCTACAACAACATAACTGGTGAAGAAAGATGAATGTGATTGATTGGATAGAGTGCATGGATTAATAAGTGTCAGAGCAGAGAAAAAAATGTGCAATGAAGAGAAACGGGGCATGGGAGGAGAAGGAAAACAGGTGTTGTGGCTTACTAGAAGGTTTATGGAATTTGGCACAGAGTATTATCCCATATTTAGAGAAGCTGATGGCAAAGCTCCCATTAACTTTAATCATCCAGAATCCAGACATTTCCCAGGGTATCCAGAAAAAAAAAATTGTAGAGGGGCAAAATAATAATGAAAAAATGGGAACTTGGACAACAGCAACAATGCAAGCTTGTCAGGAGCCAGCCAAGAGAGAACAGTGATTTATTAATAATAATCTTATGCTTTCTTATTGACCAACTGAATGCAACTACAAACAAAGGTAGAACTGCTTTGAAAAATTCCTGTTCTGTTCTCTGCATCTAACTAAATAAATGTCCAAATTTTAACTCTTGTGAATTACCGTGGCTCAGAACAATATGTCCGTTATTGTTGGTGGACTGTGATGATTTATTAAAAATCCTCAGTTATTCTGTTATATTTAAACAGGGTTGGTGGGGCTCACTACAAGATATCTGTTTTGAATGCTACCATTTCAGTAGGAGAATTCATGCTCAAACCACAGTTCTCTCAGTCTGTTCAGAGAATGTGTCTTAAGCTGTTCAATTTGCCATATTGATGAATATGTGTCCACGATATTTTTAGCCTGAGAGTACCTGGCTGTAAATAAGCTATGTACATTATGCAGAAGGGAGGAAATCTCAAAAATAGGTTCAAAAGATGCAAACCTGATCTGTACTTATA